AAAACATTCAATTCTAAACAAATTTATCTAATATACCTTTTAGATCCAAAGACATTTTTAAAAGTTATAAGATAACTTTCTAAATAAATGCTCACGAATGTGTAGGGACAATGATATTTGTTATACATGTACTGTTTTTGCAACATTTTATTTATTTAAACAAAAACATAAAAATTTGTATTTATTGTAAAATTTTACTACAAACCTCATAAATATTTTGTTGTAAAATATATTTATATTGATAAAATTTTGACTCGCAAAAAAATTCAAAATTAGAGAAAAATTAAATATTACCTTAAAATTTACCTTTTGCCAAATTTATTGGCGCAGAAATTGAATAAATATAAATTTTGACTATGTGTGTGTGTATCTGTGTGTGTTTACATGTAAAAGACAGTATTATATAATAATAATTAATGCAATACCACAATATTAATGAGCTCATCATGCAAATCAATTCCCATAACAATTAATTTGCAAACAGATTGCCAATCAATCCGTTTAGAAACATCGATTATGCAAAATTTAATATCGATTTTCGTATATTGACATCACCAGTCGGTAAATTGTTAAAAGTTATGTGGAATAAAATTAATAACTTTAGAAAATTTCTTGTAAATTGTGTGAATGAGGATTTTTCTTTGTGAAATTCTGTTCAAAATTTAATCGACTTGAATCAGATTTTTGTGGATGTTTGCTAAAATCTAATGTTTAGGTATAGATAGTTTAGGCAATAGTAAAGATAATTAAATTATTAATAAAATTGTCTTACAACTTATTAACATACCACTTAACATTTTTGAAAAAAAATAAATGAAAATTTACACTACGAATCCCAATAGTAAGCTGTTTTCTATTTAGTGTATTTTAGAGCACAAGAGTTTTTTCTCAAATTTTTTTTAAAATCGACTAATTATGCACAGATAGTGTTAGGCAATGTTAAAGCTATATCTATTCTATATTCATATTAATGTAACTCTTATCATTTTTGCCAAAAATTAAATTCAAAATTTAAACTACAAATCCAAATGGCAAGGCTAAAATGTCTCAGCGCATTATAATAGATTTTTGTCAAAATTTTCCAAAATCGAAAAAATAGGTACAGATAGTGTTAGGCTATTTTTGAAAAAATTACAATCAAAATTACAAATCCCAATCGTAAACTTTTCTCTATTTGGTGTAATAGACTAGATTTTTGGCAAAAACTTTCCAAAATCGATTTATTAGGCAAAAACAGTATTAGGCAATATCATAGCTTATAAAATTAGCTACAAAAACTTTCTAACACTTTACTAACATACCACTTACCGTTTTTGAAAAAATTACAATCAAAATTACAAATCCATACCTTTACCTTTAATATATAATATATAATATACCTTTTTCTAATCAGCGCATTAGAACAGATTTTTGTCAAAATTTTTACAAAATTGTATGATTAGGTAAAGATAGTATTAGGCAATGTTAGAGCTAAACAAATTTACTTTAAAACTCTCTAAACACTTATCAACATACAACCACTTACTGTTTTTGGAAGAAATTAAAATCAAAATGCAAATTTCAAAATTAAATCGCAAACTCTTCAGCGTATCCAAATAGGTTTTTGCCAAAAAAATTTCAAAATTGTAAGATTAGGGAAAAACAGTATTAGACAATATTATTGCTTATAAAATTAGCTACAAAATTCTCTAACAACTCACCAACATACCACTTACCGTTTCAGCAAAAAATAAAATCGAAACCCAAATGTCAAAGTTAAAACGCAAAGGTATCAGCGTATCCAAATAGATTTTTGTCAATTTTTTTTTTCAAAATTAAATAACTAGGCAAAGACAGTATTAGGCAATCTTAAAGCCTATAAAATTACCTACGAAATTTTCTATACACTTATAAACCTAGCACTTACCATTTCCGCAAAAATCAAAATCAAAACCAAAATTACCATAATAAATCCGCGCGAATGAATTTCTCTAATTAAATACCTTATTAATATTAACTAGTCTAAAATATTTATATCAATATACATATTAATAATAATTTATTTACATTTTACGTTATATAATTTCGTATATTTTATTGAGGGTGCATTAATAATAATAAGCTTAGTTTACTCTGAAAAAAATTGGAATAAATGATATTTTCATACCGGTAATTCCAATTTTTCCGACTAATTTTTTTATACAATTATTTTTATAGTATTAACTAGCGTAGGATCAGTTTGTTTTCAGTCTTTGTACAATAATATATATTTATATAATATTTTTTCTTTGCACTAAACTACTTTTAACAAATTCAAATTTTTTTAACACTTTGCGTTGCACTTTTGTTTAAAAAATTAAATTTATACACTTTAATAATATTAAATTTAATACTAAATATAGATAGTGCAATGTTGATATTAATTCATTAATATCAATAATTTATTAATAATTCAAATTATTAATAAATTAAATTTTAGTAAGTGCAGTACACCACAGATAATTGCATTCGGACAAAATATTTAAGTAAAAAAATGTATATTGCAATTGTAATATACAAATTTTTATTAAATTTTTGAACATATTTATTTTAATATTTTTAACATCTTATATTAGGAAAGCACGCTTCTTTAATATTATATTAATTTTTACAAAACATTTTTGGTTAACTGCAGGAAAATTGCACATTTTTTGCTAAAAATTTATCTAAAAAAATATATATTTTTTACTGAAAATTGTTTTGAAAAAAATTAAAAAAAAATAATTTTTGTTACAATTTGAAGCCAAATTGTAAAAAATTACCCATTAATCTTACTTATCATTAAATTACTTAATAATAATTTAATAAATTAGGAATAATTGTAATTTATAGTTACAAAACATTTTTTTAACCCGGAAAAATTGCACGTTTTTTGCAAAAAATTTAAGATAAATATATTTTTTACTAAAAATTGATTTGAAAAAAATTTGAAAAAATCATTTTTGTTACAACTTGAAGCCAAATTGTGAAAAATTATCCATTAATTTTATTTATCATTAATTTCCTTAATAAAAATTTTATAAAGTAAAAATATTTATTAATAGTTAAATTTGTTAAAAAATTTGAATGCCCTTAAAAATTTTATAAATTTAGACTAATTAAAAATTAAAAATTCAGAATAAAAATCAATATTAGTTAAATTTGTCCATAAATAGTCAATTTTATAAAAAATTAGAAATATTTAATTTATTTAGCCATATTTTCCACCAAGTGTTCAAATTAACTAAAAGTTAACCCTTGAATCATTTTTGAATTACCAAAAAAAAGGCAATTTTAAAATTTTACCATAAATTGGATAAATTGATATAAATCAATTTGACCAAAATAATAAATTTAAAGCCGAAAAAAATTTAAATCAGTATTTTTTTCCCCCCAAATGTCCAATTTTCCTCAAACCGAAAAATGTCACCTTCAACTATTTGTTTACAATTACATTATATTTATTTATTTATATATAAATAAGATATTTTGATATCATATATTATTTTAGCATATTTTTTTCGAATATTTTTCTTACAAAACAACTTTTTTTTTGATATCTAAAAAAAATTTTACCGCTTGAAGAAACCCAACACCAACAACCATAACAAGGACAACCACAAGAAATTGTTGACAATTGTCAGGTGGAGGCCTGAAAATTGAAATTTGGTCAAAATGAAATTATTTAGTTTATTGTAAACTAGAAAATTGTTATTGAAAAACATTTAGAAACCATGCAGGAAAATTTGGAAACAAAAGAAATATTATTGGAGTCTCCATGCAAGAAATGGGAACAGAGAGGACATTATGATAAATCCAGAATTCACACATAAAATTGGTATATTTATAAAATAAATATACCAAAAATTACGAGTACCTACTGTGGAAAACTATCTACAATGCCAAATCAAAATCTTATAGAAAAAAATAGAAAATTTGCCAAAAAAACATTATTTACAGCCCAAAGAATTGCAGTTAAGAAATAGACACTATGTTAAGAACCCAAATACAAAATTATAAAAACAACTAAATATTTTGAAAATAAATAAATTTAGATATTAGACAAATTAAAAAAGGACAACATTGAAATAGGATTAAATGTTGCAAATTTACATCACAAGTTAAACATCAGACAATTTGCTCATTCTTATTATCATTTATAAGGAAAATGTATGTAAAGTTTGTATATCTTAGTCATATCTTGTTAGTTTTTTCGACGTCGATTCATATTTAAAGAAAAATAGTAATTCATTTGTCTAAACAAAATAAAATAAATAAAATCTAAACTAAAATATCATACGTTTCGACACTTAATGTGTGTCATCTTTAAGAAAATATAATGAATACTTATGAACAGAACTTGATGAAAAAATATATACAGTGAGAAAAATATTGTAATCTTAGAAGAATTCTAGAGCCTTTTCTTATTTATTTAAATTTCTCTTGTTTTAATAAACAGGGTCATAAGTCAACGTTAAAAGAAAGATAAAGATTTATAGAGTTATAAAAATTGCAGCAAAATTTGGCACAAAAATTTGTATTATAATATTTAAAAATTAAAAAAAAACTGTGCTAAGCTTGAAAATATTTAGAGAAATATTTAGTAGAGGCAACAGTAAATTTAGATAATAAATTGTAAAAAAAGAATTCAGAATAATTTACAAAATAAACAAATAAACAAATAATTTATAAAACATGCAATTTTATAAATTTCTTCCAAACTACTGATTCGATTTTGAATTTGTTTTTCTCACAATATGCATTTGGATCCACTTTGGGTCAAAAGATATAAATTAAAATTTCAGTCGAAAAACTGCATTGCCAGCAACAAATTAAAAAAAAAATGAAATTGAAATCTGATAATAAAAAACATTTAAATGAAGCATGATTTTGCAAAGCGTCTCTGAAACGTATTCGTCTCATGATAAAATTCTGTCGAAATTAAAGCAATAATTATAATTTTTTACATGATCAGTGATCAGAGTTTGGTTTTAATTTTTATTTCAGGCGAATTTTAAGTTCTGTCCTGATTCACCAAAAAGAACATAAATTTAATAGAAAAAAATATTATTAAAAATAATAAAAAAGTACAAGTCACGATGTTTGTCCCAAATAGACTCCTAAACTACTGAACTGATTTTAAATTTATTTTGCACAGGATATGAATTTAGATCCACTTTGGGTCAAAAGATATAAATCAAAACTTTTAGTCGAAAAATTGCATTGGCAGTAACAAATGTAAAAAATGACCTTGAAATCTGATAGTCCTAAAAAATCCAATATTTTTAATAAATAGTTTTTTTGTACATTTTATTTTTCATCCAAAAATTAATTAAAAATTATTAAAAATTTTTTTGCAAATATAAATCCGTAATTTGTCACAACTATAAAAAATTTATAAAAGTGACCATTAGTTAGTTTTACATAAGAAAGATCATAAAGTTAATTTTAATATTCATATGAAAAAACTGTACTCTCAGTGATATTATAAAATATTCTATAACCTAGTCTGATATTTCATTAAAAATATTTAAAATTAAAGACCAACTCTTCTTTCTTGGTACTAAACTTTGACCATTTTTCTTGGCTGTGCAATCAGGCGAATTTTACATACAAACAAACCTAGAACGAAAATTATCATATCTGTATTTTTATGTGCATCTATATTATACGGTTTTATATGTAAAATATGCCTGACCGTACAGCAAATAGACTGTATTTTAACAGTTTTTAATACCAAGAAAGAAACATAAGATGCGTTGCCATGACAACACTATGTTATCGTAACCGCAGAATTGACCCTTAATTTTAAATGTTTTTAATGAAATATCAGACAAAAGCATAGAATATTTTAGAAAGTGAGGGTGTAAAATTCATTAGAACACTGAGAGTGCAAGCTTTTTTATAAAAAATACTAAAACTAACTTTATGATCTCTATATAAAGGTCACTTTTATTATATTATTATAATTTGCCCCTTAGTCTTCATAAATATAAATTTGTATTAATTACCGTAATTATATAAGTACTAGCAAACCCGACGAACTCCGTTTCGCCACCAAATGGTTTCGTGAAAAAGATGAATAAATTTTTTGCTTGTTTTATATTTTAAAAAGAAAAATTTGATTTTATTATACAACAGTAACGAATTTATTTTGATTACAAAAATGAAGTGTTTTTTAGTTGAACTTCTCTAAGTAAATGAAAGTGAATCCGCAAATTATCCGTTTCATAGAAGTGATCTTTGGTAAACCACATTTTTTGTTTTTTGGTCTGACGTTAACACAAACAAAGCGGATGGTTTTCCAACTTGTGAACAGGCAACGTTTAACTGCCCATGTGAAAAACAATGATTTTCTAAATAATCTATTAGAAATTTATCCCGCAAACACTAAGCGATTGGCTTTGCGACTTGTTATTGCAAACGCAAGGCGAACTGGATATTGCAATCGTTTGAAGTCAAACGGAAGACCAGTCGGAATCATTGGTATGTCACCAAATTGCCAGCAATTTTTGATTGAATGGTGAAATTCAGAGCGTGTACATCATTATTCTTTGCGGCAAGAATTGCTCGTTGACTTAACCAAGCATAATTCTGATAATTCTCACTAATGTCATTACACGAATTTTTAATTACAGTGCGTGAAGTTTCAGCAGCTTGCATTAAGGCACGATGCCATGCACAACTAATTTTCTTAGCTATAAACCTTGCTGAGCCCGAAAACTTTTCAACGAATGCAAAATTGTCGAAATCGGTTCGTGCGTTCTTGAGTTATTTCGTCAGGAAGGAAAACCCGACTTTTTTTTATATATATAGAAGATTACCAAAATACTAGATGAAATTCAACGACTTATATATGTGATCATTATTTTTTTTAATGTAATTTTATAAAAACAAGTTAGTACCTTCAGTATTCTAGTAAATCCTACACCTTGACGTTTTTATATCTTGTATCTTTTTATACCATAATTTACGCAAAAAATTAAATTTGTAAGTTTTTTTTCTTACCATTCATTTATATAAGTTTTTTCTAAGTCTGTGCCCTCAGTGCTCTACTAAATCCCCGCACTTCTACCCCAGTAATAATTCAAATTCAAAAATCAACGTTTTCTTTAAGTCTTTGTACAAACATTGTATTCCGTCGATAAAAGTCAAATTTGTTATTTCTGCTTCGCTAATATATTTTCGCAAACTCCTTCATTCTTCCATCGAATAATAATATAAGGAGAAACGTGCATTCGCATACATTTTAGGGATTAAAAAACACACGAGGGGGGAGTGGTGTGGTGGATCGGATCGGATAGAAAATGAATTTTAAAATAATAATAAATTTGAATTAAAATATAAAAATAAAGTGGTTTGTGAGTTTTTACCTTGTGCAGCGCTGGTGTGCTGATTGGGCCAATCGTCGTCGCCGCTTGCGGCTCCTTTATTGCTACTTTGGCCATTAGTTTGAGAACCACTGCCTTTTCGTTCCGATCTGTCGATTTCGTTCAGATTCGACTGGTATTTTGAACCTGGAACAAAATAAAAAAAAATGAGAAAATCACGGGGGCACAAGGATCCAATTTGACCTTAAACATATAACACATATCAAACAAACAACTATCTGACTATGTTCAGTAAAACTCCCAGCTAATTCATCATAGGTCATTATTAACTTCCCGTAGGGCAAGTTATAGTAATCGCAAAAAATCAAAAATGAAAATTTTTATATATCTTTACGTTTAAGAGGTTTCTGAACATTTTGGCATACCTTAGAAAAAATGGATGTATGTGTGTGCGTGTGTGTGTGTGTATGTCTGTGTATGTATGAGCGGATACAAATTTTCGTCGACGATTTCGGGAACACAGATCAACCGATTTGAACAATTCAAAAAACATTCGATTCGTATTGATAAGGAGACGTGCTGATTAGTTTTTGGCAAAGGCAGGTCTAGCCGTTCCGAAGATACGAGGCAAAAAGTGCCGAAAACGGTAACTCAGTTTTTAGAGAACGGAGCGTCCGATTTGAATAATACAAAAAACATTTTACTTGTATTGATGAATAATCGATAGAATTTTCATGAAGGTAGGTCTAGCGGTTTCGGAGATATAGAGGAAAAAAGTAAAAAAATGAGCCATTTGGCGGTCAAAAATGATCATTAGACATATGCACATCAAATTATCAGAAATTTTATAGAGATTTTAACAATAAGTATAAATTTTGTTAACATTCCTATGGGTTCCGTACCAATGCTCATGCATAAGACAGCGACGCGGCGCTTACGCGCTTTATATTTTGTCCCTATGCAGTTAAAGCAGTACGATTGCTTTGAAAAGAAAGTTCAGATCTTCCACAAAAAAAATTTTTTAAAATAATTTTTTTTTTTAAAAAAAAGTTATTGTTTGTCCAATTTATAGTTTCTCAAAAATCTTATTTTTTTAAAGTAAATTTTTTTCAAAAATGTTAATCGTTTTTAAAAAAATAATAATTTTTGGTACGGGAAGTTCCAGCAATTTGCCTCAAGGCACGATGCCTTAATTGCCTTAAGACAGAAATCCACTTACAGCTAGTTACCCCATAGGCTGGATAAACTAATACATCCAGGGGGCAAACAAATCTAGTGTCTTATTTTTAATTTTAAAGAAATTTTACGAAATAAAAACTACAATTTTCAACCAATGCAAAATATTAATTTTATAGGTACATATTTTTACACTGTATACAACCTTGATCTGGTATTCCGTCAGAAATATTCATCATCAAAGTTGGAGCAAATATTTATTCAATTTATCTTATGTAAAATTGTTTTTTTAACTTATATTACTTTTTATATGTTATTTTTTATTTTTACACCCACGGGTAAGATTTTATAAAAGTCATATAAAAAACTGTTGAATATAACTTAAAATTAACAATACATCTTATAAAACAATTAAAAAACGTATACATGAAAACTATGTCAAGGTCTCGTAAACTAAACAACAGCGCTCACGACCAAAAAAAACAAGCAACGGAAGAAAGAATCAAGGTGATGGCTGGTCAAACATCTTTTGCCCTCTACTTTCAAATATTGTAGGTGAAAAATTCTTAACTTTATTGGTTTTTGAGACATCGGAGGTGGACTTTTTTTACCAGGGTCTACCCTAATTATATTTCAGAAAATTTATATTTTTGCTAGAAAATTCTATTTGCTAATTTTATGTTTTCTCGACGTTTCAAGTCATTCTGAATCGAATGGGCCCGACACAGATCAAGTGTCAAAAACGTATAAATAAAAAATAGGCAATATTAATTTATCATTTTCTCGTCGATTAATCGTTTTAAAATAATATTGCATTTTTATTTCATCTGCAAGAGACAAAAAATAAAAGAAATCGTAGAAGTATTCTGTTTCTTGTGCATAGAAAAATGAAAAGATTTTTTTAATTAAAATTATGGTAATAAATATGGTGACAGAGACACAGGGCGATGTGGATGATATATATATATATATATATATATATATATATATATATACTAGCTGCACCAAATGTGGTGCATAAGTGAAAGGGGTAGCTCATAAAATGTATATGAATAGTTTACCCACTGCAATGCATGGGACATATAAATAGTCTTCGCAAGTGCAAACCGAATCTGAAACTGATTCTATTCAAATTGAATTGGCACATTTAAAAGTTGCAAGATTTTTATATATTATTACCGCGTTTTTCATTAATTTATTAACTTCCCGTAAGGTAGTTATAGTAATGGGCCAAAAATCGAAAATAAAAATTTGTGCACTTATCGATGTTTTGAAGGTTTCTGAACATTTTGGCATACCACAGAAAAATTGAATGTTTGTGTATGTGTTTGTGTATGTATGTATGGATACAAATTTCCAGTCACGTTTTCGGGCGCACGGATCAACCGATTTGAATGGTTTAAAAACATTCGATTCCTATTGATGGGGAGATGTGCTGATTAGTTTGTGTCAAAGGCAGGTCCAGCGGAAATACGAAGCAAAAAGTGCAGAAAATACAAATCGAGTTTTTGAGAGATCGGAGTATCGGATTTGAATGATCTAAAACATTCAGTTCGTAATGATTGGGAGAAGAGGAGCAAAAAGTGCAGAAAATGGCAGTTTTTGAGTGAACTAAGCGTCCGATTTGAATGATCTAAAAAACTTTCTGCTTGTATTGACAAAACAATTGCTTTTGAGGATAAATGGAAAATTATTACATCTTTTTTTATTTTCCATAAAATATTTTTGTAATTTTGGATTGAAAATTCAAAAATTTCCCAGGCTAAGCACAGTCTAAGCGCCACTCTGGTACAAATGTTTACCCAAGTGCGTTTAGACTGTTTATTTACTGAAGCACTTTTCCAATTTTGTGAAAAATGCGAAAATGTCGCCGAGCTAAGCACAGTATAAGTGAAAATGTCGCACAGAATTATTTGCAAATGCATTTAGACTGTGACTATACGGAGGCACTTTTTCAATATAACAAACAAAATGGCAAAAATAATGAAAGTTACAGTATTTATAATAATAAATTTGAAAACGTTTAAAATTTCTCGAATATTTCATTACGGTACGGAAAGTTCCAGCAATTTGCCTTAAGGCACGATGCCATACACCGCTAGTTTCTTATTGATTAAGTCGATTAATTACACATATCTAGGAAGTTCGTGTAACTTGCCAGAAGGCTAAATGCCAATACCAACTAGTTTAGTATCGACCTTAAACCTTAGTTACGCTTGCAAATTCATAGATGACGCGTGAGTGTACCCTTCTCAAAGCGCTCCTTGTAAAATATTACTCAAAATGGATTTAGAAACTTCAAATTGATAACCAAGGTAATTTAGAAATTTAAACAACATTCTTTTTTGCACATTTTTTGGAAAGGACCGGCGGTTATATGATATATGTATATATATATATACATATATACAGTGTGGTCCACAATAAACATTATTATATATAAAATAAACTAGTGGGGCGCATGGCATCGTGCCTTAAGGCAAATTGCTGGAACTTCCCGTACCAAAAATTATTTTCTTTTTAAAAACGATTAAAATTTAAAAAAAAAAAATAGTCTGAAAAAATTAGATTTTTGAGAAACTATAAATTTTTGACAAAAACTCACTTTTTTTTTGAAAAAAAGACTTTTTGAAGAAAAATTTATTTTGAAATATTTTGGAAATTCTGAACTTTTTAACTTCCCGTAGGGAAATTTATAGTAATCGCAAAAAAATTGAAAATGAAAATTTTTATATATCTTTGCGTTTCAGAGGTTTCTGAATATTTTGGCATACCTTAGAAAAAATGGATGTATGTGTGTGTGTGCGTGTATGTGTGTGTGCGCGTGTATGTGTGCGAATACAAATTTTCGTCGACGATTTCGGGAACACGGATCAACCGATTTGAATAATTAAAAAACATTCGATTCGTATTGATAAGGAGGCATGCTGATTAGTTTTTGGCAGAGGCAGGTCTAGCCGTTTCGAAGATACGGGGCAAAAAGTGCCGAAAACGGTAACTCAGTTTTTTTATTTTATAGAGATTTTAACAATAAGTATAAATTTTGTTAACATTCCTATGGGTTCCGTACCAATGCTTATGCGTTAGACAGCGACGCGGCGCTTACGAGCTTTATATTTTATCCCTATGCAGTTAAAGCAGTACGATTGCTTTGAAAAAAAAGTGAATATGTCAAAATAAAAAAAAAATTTAAAAAAAAATTTTTTTCAAAAAAAAGTAATTTTTTGTCCAATTTATAGTTTCTCAAAAATCTTATTTTTTTTAAGTAAATTTTTTGAAAACAATAATTTTTGGTACGGGAAGTACCAGCAATTTGCCTTAGGGCACGATGCCTTAATTGCCTTAAGACAGAATTCCACTTACAGCTAGTTTAATTGTTTTAAATTGTAACCCTGAAATATTTATTTGTAGCACTGAAGATGTTCTCTGAATAAAAACATTTTCTTTCAATAAAACTGTTTTTATTTACTAGATGAATGACCAAGAAACAATTTTATCATATTATTTCACCATGTGAAGTAAAACCTTTCGCTTTATATATATTATATATTAATATATATGTATATATATATATCTTCTATATATATAAAAATAAGTCGGGTTTTCCTTCCTGACGAAATAACTCCAGAACGCACGAACCGATTTTGACAATTTTGCATTTGTTGGAAAGATCTCGGGCTCCGCAAGGTTTATAGTTAAGAAAATTAGTTGTGCATGGCATCGTACCTTAATGCTGCTGGAATTTCACGCACCGTAATAAAAAATTCGAGTAATGACATTAGTGAGAATTATCAGAATTATGCTTGGTTAAGTCAACGAGCAATTCTTGCCGCAAACAATAATGATGTACACGCACTGAATTTCACCATTCAATCAAAAAATGCTGGCGATTTGGTGACATACCAATGATTCCGACTGGTCTTCGGTTTGACTTCAAACGATTGCAATTTCCAGTTCGCCTTGCGTTCGCAATAACAAGTCGCAAGGCAAATCGCTTAGTGTTTGCGGGT